TGCGACGCGCTGATGAGATCCAAAAAGATCGAAATCGCGATCCGCGTCTGGCAGTTTCGACAGAATACAGACCACTTCGAATTATTTTATTTAATATTTTATTTAATTCAACAAATCAATATTTGCAGATATCTTGTGCAATTAGTTATTAACTATATTTTTTGTGCAAAACTAACTTTTTTCACACTGTAACTCCTGAAACTCCTTAAATACTGCTGGTGTGTGATCGGGTAGGATGAAATTGCACAGTAGAAGTTCAATAGTGGGGAATTATTATTTTATTCAGTCAAACGTCTAATTTGTAACTTTTATTCGAAACATTTAAATTTTAAAAATGTTTATAATTTTTATGTTTTTCGTGAATTAGATATTCTAAGTATTAGAGTCCTTTTTTCCTTAATTTTCATGTTTGTCCAATATAAACCTTATTACTGTTTCTGCAAGTCTTCAAACTTTTTTTAATGAATTTAGAATGTGAATTATTAGTTTGTAATATTTGTTTTTTGTACTTTACAGTTTAATTTTAAGTATCTCGGGCACGTGAAGGAACTGTCCTTTTTAGATTTTTCGTTATTATAGGTGGGAGTTTATAGTAGGTTCTTCTTTTTATTCCGCAAATTTATAGATAGGTATTATAACAGATTACTTGCAATTTAGAAGATTCTGTCTATTTCTATTTGAAAATTAATTTTATTTAGAGGATGATAATTACCCAAGTGAAAAGCTGCTTAAAAGATCTTGCATAAGTTTGACCGTGTCTCTTCATGACAGGTTTGTGATATACAGATGTATTGAGAATTTATCTTTGTTAAATTAGCAAATATTAAAACTGTAAAAACTGCAATGATAACCGACAGGAACAGAGGGACTTTACCATAAACTGTAAGGATATTGCAGTTTTGTTGCTGAATCCTTATGTGAGTACTGATGCTTATTATTCCCTTCAAGGAATTGAAATACCCTGTACAAATATAGAAATGCATTTTGCGTGGACATGGCATTTTCTATTAACTTTCTTGAGGCGTCTTTCACAGTTTTCTTCTATGAAAACGGGGCCTGTGACATGTTTGAAACAAACAAACAAACGGAAATGTCTTTTGTTTCTTCGTACAACAGGGCATGTCAAACGGCCTGACGGTGGCCGAGACTTCTTATTAAATGCCTACAGAAGAACCATTTGACATACACTTACTTTACTACCATTCAGTTCATTGATTGAGTCATTTGTTTAAATTCGTGTTTCGTTTCTTTTCAGGATGTCACTTACTTCCGGTGCTAGGCCACTTACGGTAAGTCTTTAAAGGAATAATCATTTCTAAGTAATCGCTTTTTATAACGCACTTATGTATATATGTATTTATTTCCACGTTCACACATCCGTACGCAGAATGCACAACAATTAACAGTAAACTCGGTGAAACATTAATAATAAAAGAAGGATTTTTGACAACGTCTCCATCGATCGATCGATATGAATCGAGTGAAATTCATATAAATCAAAATATTAATAATAATCAGATATGCAATTCTCNCGACATATTTGCCTACAACAAACATTAACTATATTGTCATAATTAATGTAATCGGTAACTTGTTTATGATAATTAAACAAGTTTGCAAATACGAATGGCGCGTGAACGACTTATCCGGAGTAACCAAAAGAAAATGTATTGCAAATCCGAACAAATTAAAGACGTAATATGTATAACGTTTTAATAGAGTTTCTTAATTGTCGAGACTGCATATATGAATAAAAATATTGATTATTATTAAATTTGAACTGAAAAATTTCCTGAATTTAACTTGAAATACACAATAAAAATGTCTTCATCGAAAACACAATATAAATATATAATTTACTGTAGTTACGGTTAGCTGCATCCTGTAAAATTATTTGTTGAATATGGAACTATATGGATACTAAATCATTTTCGATAAATTACTTAGGTAATAAGTTAAACAATGGGTTTTAGTGGTGTGTTTAATGATTAATAACAGACGAATTAAAATTTTTATTATAATAGCAAAAATCTTGACAATGTACAACATACGCAGTGATTCACTTCCTTTAGTATAAATCACTATTTGTACTTTCATTTATTAGTATCGAAATGTCTATGTTATCCGCTAAAATGGTATAAAAATTTTTATTATTTCCGTTCATTAAAAAGGCCCATTACGCACTACTTGGCTAATTGCTCGTAGAAAAACCACTTACATTAAATATTGTTTTAATTAATGAATTTTATTTGGTATTTTACTGTTGATGATTCTGAACCGATTTTCTCATTTTTTTTTTTAATAATATGCAAACCAAAATTGGTGTTAGTCTTATTGACTTCTGAACTTCAGACAAATTCCTAATAAAGCTTATATTTTTATTATCAACGAAGTCATTATTCCTAGCATTTTCTGACAGACGCCTTAATCTGTACTAAATTTAAACTAATTGGCTTCTAAATTCCTGACTTGGGTCCACTGTTCGCTAATTTAATTTTAAGTTTATTAGACGAATTTCTCGGAACAAATTTGCTTATGGTCACAAGAGACAGATTTTAATCATACTTTTACGTTGTCAACCACAACATGATCCAACTGTAGCCATCATTAACACAAAAACATTAAATGCAATTTTGGGAAATTAATGAAAAGTTTCTTGTTAAAATGCGTATCAAGAAGATAAATATTATGTGTATATAATGAATAATAACCCCCCTCCCCACCTTAAGACTCTATATTTCATCGAAGGTGAATTAATGAAATAAAAACCGCACTTATTGTTAAATAAATTGCCATTTTTGTTATCTTCAGTTCCTGTAAAATATGCTATTATTTATTAAAATAATTACGTTAAACAATAATAATTATACTATCATAAATACACATATGGCAATGTTCAATTTTTAATATAGATTTAATTAAAGATACATTATTGAATTGGAGTACAGTAAAAGCTCTTTATTCGCGGGGTATACGTTCCATAAATATGCCGCGAATATAGAAACCGTGGATATGGAATGGTAATTAATATGGAATCATAGGGGATACGTTCTAAAGTTTCAAAATAAAACCAATATGTATCAAAATAAAATCAATGTATTGATAAATTCGCAATTAAAATTAATACTTATAATCAGCTTTAGGCAAGAGTTTAAAAAATTTAGTGATTTTTTCTTGTTTTGAATTTTGAAAGTAGTCCACTCGGTTAGATTTTGTATAAAAGCCGCTTCGGCACATACCAACATTACATACTCAAAAGATACATTAAGGGGATTCAATAGTACACGCGCCGTAGAGTAAAAACATGCTTATCGGTTCTAGATATCATGAGTTTAATGTTTGGAACAGAGGTTTGAAATTTTGTAGTAAGATAGATAAAGCTTTGTTCTAAAGCTTGTCGAAGGTCATTTTTAATTTTTTAATTTCTATTGAAAATACGTGTCCTACAAGAAGCATCAACCTTAAGCACTTGTAAAAGCTATTAATGATCATATTATTGAAAACCAAAAACGTATCGAGTTAGTGTGAACATTTGTCTGTTATCATACAAAAAATTAGATATTTATCTCGCAGCGTTAAGTCACAATGTTTAGAATAGAAACCCATGTTTTCGGAAAAATTCACACTAGGCACGAGCGGTTTATTGCGGTCAATTCCCTTAATAAGTGACACCGAATCCTTTTCTGTTTACCGATTGCATCCGCGAATAATGAAATTTTTAGCCGCGAATACAGGAACTGGGTTGCAGTTTTTTCACCCGCGAATAATGAAAACGCGAATAAGGAAACTGTGAATAAGGAACTTTTATTGTATTCGCCGTTACTACGAGGCCTGGGACTACAACTCCACTGAGCATAATCCTCCCCTAAAAACGGCACTATCACAGCATCAGATGGCTCACGCGAATGATGCGCGGTTGTCGGTTACTTTACGGTGAGGCAGAAGTAAAAATTTATTCAATTTAATTTCAAAGGGAATAATAAAAAGACATTATTTCAGTTTGCCTTACGTAGTTAATAAATATTTCAATGCTTTTGTCCGATGCGGAGGTTAATCGGTGTAATATGCGTTAAAGGTGCCTTCAGTGCGGACTTTGATTGTCTGCCAAAAAATCTAGTGTAATAAAAATTAAACGCACTGCAGTTTGCCTCCCCTTAAAACCACCGTCCGGGACGGACTTAACGCCACTGCGGAGGCTCTGAAAGTCTGAAACTCGTTAAACGTTTTTAGACATTTTGTTGTCAAGTACTTTTCAAAAACGCCATAGTGTAAGGAGCAATGGTGTAGAATCTTTGGTCACTTTAGTTTGAGACTGCAAACTATTTGATTGTTTTATTCGATGTTGCTGCAGTTGTTGAATACGTCCGTTTTTTATTTAATGTTCATAAGACTATTCACTCTCGGAACTTGTATTTGTCACCTAAATAACAATAAAGTAACGCCGTGCCTCCCATAATATTATACATATTAAAACGAGATAACCGGCGACATATTTGCCTACAACAAACATTAACTATATTGTCATAATTAATGTAATCGGTAACTTGTTTATGATAATTAAACAAGTTTGCAAATACGAATGGCGCGTGAACGACTTATCCGGAGTAACCAAAAGAAAATGTATTGCAAATCCGAACAAATTAAAGACGTAATATGTATAACGTTTTAGAAGGCAGTTACTTATCTAATTGTTGTTCTGAATTTATACATTCTTTTATAAAATTATAGTGAGTATGTTAAGTATAACGATTTCAGTAAATTGTCAGTAAATAAATATGTAATACAATTTCATTTTGGCACATAATATTCAGAGAAAAATGTTGCGGCGCTGATTCTTTGTTTTGTAGGCATTACTACATGATATAAAAGATCAAATCACGAAAGGAGAAGTTAACTTATTTTTTATTACTGATGTTGAATTAGAAAATCGCTAAAGTATCGCTCAAACATTTTGAAATATCTTATTAGATTTACATTTTAAATGATACTCATTGAAAAAAAGAAGGAACTTGAAAAATAACGCACTACTATAGCAGATTGAAAACAAAAGGATAATCGAATATTCGACAAATCTGACTAAATTTGCTAAAATATATCTATCGGCCCCTAGCAGTATGGTGTATAGTCAATGGAATCATTTACTCCTAATAACTTACCTCTGATAAACTTTAAGTATTAAAAAAAAATAATATAATGTTTGTTAATTCAAATAAACACATTTTTGAGTAATATATGCGGTTTTTTTTGTTCGATGAATTGGTATCCTAATACTAGGCTGTAATTCGGCTGAATACCGAATATTAAGAAAAGTGGTCGAATAGACCGAATACCGAACAATAACCGAATATTCGTGACATTACTAGTTAAAATATTTTAAAATTATGATTCGCTGTAGCAATTACGGTTCCAGATTTTATTTCAGCGATAAAGATACTTCGGAAATGACTAACTCTCTTGATATCTCTGTCCTTTCACGTAATAGTCCTCTCTAAAAGATTTAAAAATGTAAGTACTTTTAGTGTTCTGATAACAGAATTTCAAAAAATTTTGACGTGCCAAGGCAATTTTGGGAACAGATTTGGATATTTGGATTCAACATCACAAATTACGCCGTAAATGATTGCCTTTTTCTTTTTTATTATCCATATACTTGATTTCGTTGATCTAGCCTTTAATCTTCAAATTTGGACCTTTTTTACAATGAAAGAAAAACATTTCCCATCTGGAATCCTGTAACTAGATGTTTGTTTTTCATTTCTGTTTACTTGGAAATTTTAGATATGCATGTATGTATAATTTCGTTGCAGAAAATGTGCTGAGGCCGAACCAGAGTTGGCGGTACAATTAGATGTTTTTGATGAGCAACGAGAAAGTGATGATGCAAATTTACAAGGTCCCCATGGGGTTGACCTTAGCTCACCCTTAGACGTGTTCTATGCTATTTTAAAACAGGTACTTCCACACTTCAAACTTACCCACCCGGCGCATTCACCATTTCATCTTTTCTTCTAAAATATTCAACAGGTCGCCGATACTCCGCAAGAAATCCCATTCCTAAGCATTTTACAACATTTATTACGAATAGATCCGAAAGAAGCGATAAGTGACATCGTATGGGATACTGCAGAAAGATTAGTACACAGAGCAACATTGCTGGAGAACAGGGAAGACGCTTCGCGACTCCTCAGAGCTCCTAGTATAGCAGCAAAACTCTTCTGCCCTTGTCAGCATCGCTCAGAAGGAAATCAAAGTAGAAGACAATCACTAAATACGATGCCCCTAAGTCCACCCCCAGGGCCTCATCCGCCCCCAAATCTCAGTAAGCCAATTTGGTTGTATTTATGAATGAATAAGGAGGTCACATGCAACTGTTGTTTTTAGCTCCGAGTCAACCGCCACCTCCACCACCGCCCCCAAATATACCACCCCCTCCCAGCGCACCACCTCCTGCTCCCATGCCGCCACCGCCAATGCAAAAAATAAATACCTCAGCAGCATCAAAAGCTAATGAAAACGAAAAGATAGTAGAGAAATTGCCTCAACAGGAAACTCCTCAACCAAAAATTAAAATGAAAACGATCAATTGGAATAAAATCCCTAGTCATAAAGTAAGTGACTTTTCAATGAAATTTATGACTATCTATTCAAACCTTTACTCCATTAGGTAGTAGGTAAACAAAATATTTGGACACAGTTGGCTTACAATCACCAACATTCACCACTTCATGATATGGATTGGTCAGAAATGGAAGGACTATTTTGTCAACCAGGTCCACCGTCTTCGGCAAATTCTTCTCCGAAATTAGGAAATCGTGATGGTAGTTCTGACACTCTTGAAAGACGAATGAGAAAAGACAACTCCGAAGTACGAACCTACATATATTATAGTTTAGTGCTCTTTAATATTAATTCTTCTTTTAGATAACTCTTCTTGATGGTAAAAGAAGTTTAAATGTTAACATTTTTCTAAAACAGTTCAGAAGGTAATAACAATATCTAAGTATTCCTACACAGCTTAATGAGTTATTTGTTCATTATTACTTGTAGCTCCAACGAGGATATTGTACAGCTCATAAAGAATGGAGAACATGACGATATAGGGGCTGAAAAACTGAAAGGACTTCTTAAAATTCTTCCAGAAGTTGACGAACTGGATATGCTGAAATCTTTTACTGGAGATTATAATAAACTGGGGAATGCCGAAAAGTTCTTAATGCAACTTACTAGTCTTTCCAAGTAATAACTTTTATTATAAACACACGATCTATTGTGAACTCTTTTTCTAATGGCTTTATTTTCAGTTACAAGTTGCGCATTGAAAGTATGCTTCTCAAAGAGGAATTTGCTTCGAACATGAATTATTTGGAACCCAGCATAAGGTCCATGAAAGCCGCAGCGGAAGGTGAAAAGAAATTTAATATCTTAACTCTTATTTCTCAAATTTTTGTCTTGTTTTAGATCTTATGACAAACAAGCCATTACAAGAAGTGCTCTATATGATCCTCGTAGCGGGAAATTTCTTAAATTCGGTAAGTTCACGTACCAAATGTGTGTTACGAAAATGATGTAACGAATTTCTATCTTTAGGGTGGATATGCAGGTGATGCAGCTGGGGTAAAATTGTCTTCGCTCCAGAAAATAACAGACATACGGGCCAATAAACCAAATATGAATTTGATACATTTTGTTGCAATGGTGAAAAAACAAAAATCCTTCCGTTTTCTTACTACTGACTTATTATTTCTTTTTTTAGCAAGCTGAGAAACGTAACAAGAATTTATTATCTTTTACCGATAACATTGGCATTTTGGAAGAGGCAGCTAAGTACGATGCTATTTATTTTCCTTTCCGCATAAAAAACTATTATACGCTTTTTCTTTATAGGAACACGGTAGAACAGCTCCATAATGAAATAAATGCTCTTGACATCCGAATAAAAAAAATTACAAAACAAATTGAAACGCCAACAACAGAACCTGAAATACAGCTTCAAATGATAGAATTTTTAGAGGTAGAAATATCCGATTATTATTTAAATTTTTCTTTCTTAATAAAATTACGTTATTTCTCATTAATTTAGATGGCAGAAAGGGAAGTTGCAAATCTTCAACGGAACATGTGCAATCTTGAGAACGTACGACAAAAATTAGCAGACTTCTTTTGCGAAGACGTCAACTCGTTCAAACTGGAAGAATGCTTTCGAATATTCCACAATTTTTATACAAAATTCAAACAAGCAGTCTTCGAAAATGCAAGAAGAAAGGCCCAGGAAGAACAAGCAAACGCCAGAAGAAGACAACGAGAAGAACTGATAGCCAACAAACGAAGACAAAGTATTAAATACAAAAAACGAAATACCATTTAAAAGATCTAATGCAAACCTATTTTGTTTCAGTGGGCAATTTGGTTGGAACTCCGGACTCGGAAGGAACGTTTGATACTCAGATATACGATCCCAGAAGCGGTTTCGCAATTCGAAAGGTAATCTGAATTATTTTATGGCTTAAAACTGAAATGATAGTGGTAGGTACTCTACGTATTATATTTTTTTAGGGATGGCGAGTTCCAAGCAACAGCAACTTAGCGTCCGAAGACGAACTGTCTATAGCAGGTTCGCCACTGGTTACAAGGAGACGATTAGGTTCATTCAGTGGACAAAATAACGGTGATTCCACCCCATCTGCCACTGGAAAGGACGAAAAATCACCTGGTAATAAAATTCATCTAAAAAAAGTGAATTTTAAATACCATGGAATATTGTCTGTTACAGATATAACTCCAAATGGTAGTTTAAGACGACGTAGAAGCAGAGTTCTTTCTGAAGAAGATGAGGGCAACTTGATGGAATTCTTAAGAAGCTCGGGTCAAGATAACAACCGCGAAAGAAAATCATGGGGCAGTTTAGGTAACTATGTTTAATAATCTTTATTGATGTACGAAAAATCTTTAATATTGTTTTATTTCTTAGATCGATCGTGGGCAAGAAGAGCGAGGGGAAGTGGTCCACGTAAAAGACCAAACCTTTTGGGGGCAGATTTTTCGAATGAAAGAGAACGTCCTTCGTCACCTTCTCCTTTGGCTGAAACAAAACCTGTTTTACCAAGTACTGAAGAGGGTACAAAACCGAAAGAATGGCGACAAAAAATCGAATCATGGCTACAAGCTAACGAAAACGACAACGAAGAAGCTCGAAAACAAAATAGAAGAATTACTAACAGAAGATCGCTTGAAATGGATTCAGGTAAGATTTCAATTTGAAATTGAATGTATATAAGTATTACATAAATTTTTTATTTCATTAGAAAGCGAACGAAGTAGTAATTTGGAGACTCTACCAGAAGGAAAGCAAGTGTACACGGGAGGCCAATCGATCTATCGTAGAGTATATCCAGATTGGACACCTTCCAGTACCTTCGAGAAAACTGACGTTGTTGGTGCAATAGAAACTGTTGAAGGTTAATATATGATCAATTTATTTATTCGCCATATATGATCTAATGACAAATAAATTTCTTGCAGATGCACAACCAACGATGAAGGACAAATCAGCGTGGCGTAAATCCAATCTTAACGTAGCTAACAGTATGGAACCAACTAAGGAAGACAGGCATCGTATAGTTGTTCCTCGAATATCTCAGTCAGAACCTGATCCAAATACAGAAGAAGACAGCAGAAAGAGTTTAATCAGTTCTTTAGGTGTTCGCCCTGCTTCTGATAAGTTAACACTCTACATACGTAAACCTAGCGATCCTGCGGTAATGCCTGAACCCAACACAAATCTCAATAATATTCCTCATGCCATATCCAACTCCCAACAAAGTTTAGAATCTCAAAGTACTAACAAAGTAGATATAGATCAAGATAACATAGAAACTCCTCCAATGACTAGGAAAATTTTCACACCGACACCTGTTGACAAAAGGGAACCTCAAGCCCAATCTCCATGCAGGAGGTTTCTGGTACGCTCATCAAAAGAATCCTTGGGTAGTCCTGAAGAGCCGGAGAACAATACTTCATTGGGTGATGGTCAGTTTGATCGATTTTCTGCAACGAGGCGCACTAGAAGATACAAAAGAAATCCAGAAAATAACGAAGCAGCTTCCCCAGAACTAATGGCTGAAACTGAGATATTGAAAACCAATGCCATGCAAGCTGAAACATCAACTCTACTTATAGAACCTGAGTTAGATAGAGAATCGAGACTAAAAGCTTGGCAGGACCGACTCAAAACCCAAAGTGAAAATCAATCTGAGACCAAACATGCTTCTAATAAGCGTAACAGAAATCAGACACTAATTAACGAGAAAGACGTACTCCTAGCGTTAAAATCAAAAGGAAGCGACGAAAACGTTAAAGAAAGTGACAAAAATCGTAGCTTTAAACTTAAATCGGACGCTTTATCGTCGAGCAAGATAGATATTCCTATAAGAAAGTGTAAAGAACACGACCACGATGAAGGTTTTGAAGAATCTCAAAGTCTAATGTCCGAATCTCCAAGTCAAGGTGCCTCATCTGGTGGTGGTAATTACGAACCAGATATCGTTGATTCTTCGAGGATAATAATCTCAGAATATAATCCAACTCCAATCCGTCCAGTACCTCAGACACCCTCCACAACTTCTCCGTCTCACGCTAAAACCTCCAAAAGACCCGTAACAATTTCTGGAAAAACCACAACGAATCCTAGGACGTCATTGTCTTCATCGTCATCATCAACCCAAAATCCACCTCGTAATTTCCAAAGGTCGAACTCTGTAAGGCATACAATTAACGAAACATCAAAAAAGAGCGTGATCCCAAGAAGATCTGGAAGCGTAAGAAAAATCGAATCTAAAGACAATAGCACCAAAAAGAATATAGAACGATCGACTTCCAAAAATAGTTTAGTTAGTTCAAGAAGTTCATTGAACAGTGCTGCGTCTACAAATACAGTTAAAAGGATGCCTCTTAAGCCAAGCAATAACAATAGTGGTAATGGTACAATCAATAAAGCAGCTTCCAGAATGGTGAACGGAATTAAACCAGGAAGCAGTGGTAAACAAAGTTCTGGATCTGTTACAAGGCCACCAAAGGCTCAGCTGTCGTCTTTTATGAAACCAACAGCGTCTAGTACTACAAAATCAACAAATCAGTCATCAAAAACGCCTGGACGATTATTCCCTAGGTTTAAAAATTAACAAAAATATTGTGTTAGTATCGATATACTGTTTTAATTCATTTTAGTGTTTTCTCATTTCAATATTTTTTGATCAGTCATTCTAAACGATAGATAAATGTATTCCTTTCCTTATTAGTGGAAAGACATATTAATACGTAAAACATTTAAAATCATAGCATATTTAAGATAGGTGCAATAATTTTTTTGCTATAATTTTAAGTAAACCCGTATGACATATCTTAAAATATCGTAAATAGCTCGATTTTTTATTACTTGTAATAATTTCTATCACCTTTTGGGTAAGTAATTCCAAAGTATTACCACATTTTCTCATTGGTGCTCAGGAAGGTATAAAGGTCAAATAAAACCAAAAGTGTCCTCTTATAGAATAAATAGAAGCTGATACGCCATCAGTTAAAGTCGTCATTAGACGTTATTACCAAATTTCTACTTACAATTAGTTTAATACAGACTGTCAGTTGGGGGTGCAGATAATAAAACAAATATATATCAGTTTGCACCACAGTATTACTATTAACTATTTTAGGAAAATAACTAACACTACTTACAATGAATTTTACCAGTTTATTTGACTTAGTTCGCATTTTTATATTTTTATACAAAAAAACTAATTTTACAATATTTATTTGTTACCAAATACAAACATTCTTTAAACAGTTGTACATTTTATTTTAAGCTTCTGTGTAATACTTCTCTCCAAACAATTCCTTTTGATCACTTAAGTAGCTGTTGAAAGAAAAAATTAACTTATTTCTTTTAGAAATAAAATGTATAAAAGAAAAACGCTTACTCTATGAAATCATCCAAATGCCTTAATAGTACTTTTAGCTTATTGTCAGCCATACTCGAAGAATTAAGAAGTTCAGGCAATTTTACTAGAATAAATACAAATTAATAAAACGTAAATATTTAAAAAATAATTTTTACCGAATAAACGAAGTAAGTGGGTTGCCCCATAAACAAGAGAAGGAGGGGGCGGCTGCTGGGAATAAACATGATCTGGGAGAATCTTCCAATTTACAATTTTTGCAATTGCTGTGGGAACTTCCTGTTCAACATTTCTGTAAATATAAATTAATTACAAAAAATCTTAATTCGTTTTTGTCTTTTTATTGTACGTGGATGAATTTTGCGACAATTCAGGGGTGTTGCCGTTGGTTTCAGAGTCCTGAGAACGATAAGAACGGAGAATTCTTCGTTTAGCAGGTGTACAATTACTTTCAGTAAATTCTTGGCCGTTATTTCGCTCAAGAATGTCCTCTTCAGGCCCCATATTAGGCAAGTGCGCGTATTCTAAATCTTCCAGCTCTGTTTTAACTAATCTTAAGTATATAAAAAAAATAATTAATTACAAAGTAAGAAATAGAAACGATAAACATTCTTCGTACTAACACTTCATGTTTGATTGTTGGTATAGAGGACATGAACGTAGCAGCAGCTGTTTCACATTGCCCTTGTTCCTTCCTGTACAACAACAGATCGTTTAAAGTAAAATCAAAGTAAATTCTCAGTCCATCTAGGACCTCCTTACAAACATTTAAACTAGAAATAAAAGTAGTTATTAGTTTTAGTTCTGTTTTTAATTAATTAATTACCATACTTTCTCTGAATTTCTTCTGGTTTCTTTTTTTGTTGGTTTCTATACCTGCCACTATTAGATTTCTCTGTCAAGCAGTAAATTTGATTTGTAGCATACTGTTTCCAATATTTTTCCAAAATTGTAATAATGCATGGTTCTGCAGGAATTTTATGTAACTATAATGTAACAAAAGAAAATTAAATTTTGAAAAGAACCAAAAAGTCAATTATTCTCACTTTATTTCTTTCATGAATCAAATGGTAATCAATTTCCAAAACTTCCTGCAAATCCTTAGTTAATTCAACTGGTACCAAATCTTCTTCCATGGAAGAATCTTCTTCAGAACTACTTGTCAAGTCTTCTGTCTGGTAATCTAAGTGAGTCGGACTACCAGAACTCCCATCTTCTGATAACTGGGATATCCTATCACTTAATTTACGATTATGCTTCTTTCTTTCCCTTCTATATAAATATGCACCCCTAAGAATAAAAGAGGATTTATGGATAAATATATAAATTTAATTAAATTAAAATTACCAGTTTATGTTATTTAACGTATTATCCATGATTAAAACAATTGTATAATGAATATTAATGATTATGTAAATCAGAACATTGTACTTTAATCACTGTAATATGACTGAATGTTTATAAACCACGATATACAGTGATAATTTAAAATGATAACAAACTACAATACAGTATAACTTACAATTGTAGTTGCGCTTTATCTGCAAGATCTCGCTGTAATTGTCTGTTCTCGGCGGTGTCTTTTAACACGAATTCTTCTCCCACACACCTGTCCCAAGAAGAATTCCAACCCTAGTACAAATTGTTTTAGTATCAAAAACAGAGATATTGTATTTATATACCTGGAAATGAATTAAATATTCAACATTTTTTCTACCTCTTGGATCTTTATTAACAATAACTTCCATTACCTGTAAATAATGAATTATTTATTTAATTGATTAATATTTAAATTGGAGGTTAGAAAACTTACTTTTGAATCATACAAAACTTTAGCTTTTGTCGGATCTGGTTCATAGCACAGCACTCTTTCTCCTTCATAAAATTTTAATTTGATACCTCTTGTAGAGACCATTTTTAATAAAGCGTGTGAAAATGAGCATTTAAATCTATATTATTGTTGAAACAAATTTGATTCAGCGCCATATTTTATTATGATTATGGTTTTCGACAGTTTTCGACGTTATTCTTCTCATGAGACAGAATTCCCAAAACTCGAAAACACCACTTCAAGTGGCCTAATATTGAAGGCTTCGAATCCATTCTGGTTAAAGGTTTTTTTTCAGAACTCTAGGATAATATTGTGTTGAAGCTCTATTAATTTCTAAACCATTATTTATTTTAATAAAATAAGCAATATTTAAAGTAACTGTAAACTATTTATTCAATCATACATATTTACTACGTTATTTTAACATATAAGTTTAATTAACTGCATTTTCAAACTGGGTTCTTGCCATAAATGCTATTTTTTGAGCTTTTTGGACCGCTTCTGGACACCTTCTTTTCTTAACAAGCTTACAATCTTGAAAGAACCCTTCGTTTCGAGGAAACCCGTTTGTACCATCGTTGAATGTAACTAGACCTAACACGTACACAAGAAATAATTTTTTATAGTAATGAAATATTTGTTAAGAAAAAAAGTTAATACCCAAACCCCACATTTTTCCACCCCTAAATTCTCCCTCATATCTCATACCATCAGATCTCCAAAAAATACCACTTCCATGAAACCATCCTTCTAGGAATTCGCCCTCATACCTATAATTATTTGTAGTCATTATTTATCGACATATTATTTATCACAAATTTATTGAGACCATATGGAACATGACTGTACTTTATGGGGCAATACTTTTTTTAGTAAATACTTATCGCGTAAGTAAATACATTCGATAACTCGTCGTAATAATTTTGTTTATTCTCGGAGTCTATTTAGTCTTATTGAAAACAAATAAAAATAACTTCGTTTCTTTCCAGCTACAAGGTTTTGTCTCTGAATTGAAAACTCAAAATACTGATATATTTTTGTATCAGAAGTAAGATAAATAAAACCGTTTTCTTTTTATTTGGTAAATGTCTACGAAGCTTTTTCGTGACAAAAATAAACCAATATTTACACACTAATTGAATTTTCTATTTTCTTCCTCCCACACGTAAAGAATTAAAAAAATACTGAGGCGTTTTATCAAACAGAAGGGAATATTTTTGCACAAGTCTTTAATCGAATAAAAAGGCCTCCACTAATTCACAATAAGAACAATCTGGTCATTTGAAATAGGATTAGTCTTTTCAAAATTTACGACGAAAGAATAAATAAAAATACTATAAACCCATCACCCTGTATTTCAATATAATTTTGACGTACTTTGAACCATCCGGAAAGCTCAAAACTCCCATTCCATTAAAAAGCCCGTCATCAAAGTACCCCCCATAACGAGTTCCATCAGCAAGTTCTAAATGACCCTCTTCTTGCCTTTTGCCCTTTGTGTTCCAAGCTCCTACATACACGGTGCCTCTGCCATAACGATGACCCCCATATTTTGCAACACGATCTGTGAAGAATATTTAGATAAAATCTGTATCGATTAGAAACTAAAAAAAAGTTTTATCTATATACATAAAAATGAATGTTTGTATGCCCTTTATAGAATCGTGAACTATGCATTTGATCATGTGATGATCTTTAGCAAAGTTGTTGTGCATGAGCCAAAGAAGGTTTCTGAGTTGGTACGACCAATTTTCGAAACTTGGCTTTAATACTTTTTCATATAAAATTAGTTAAATACATACCTATTTCAACATTTTACAAAATTCTACCTCTTTAGGAAGCTGAAAGGGGTTTGTTTTTGGTCCGATTTACTTTTGAAGCTGATTAAACAATTGAATCTCTGTTGGGGCGGAAGAGTGGTGAAGAGGAGTTGCACTGTTTAAATGATGATTATTTGTGGTCAGATTTACTTGAAACTTGGTCTTAATGATTTCTCATTTAATTTCTCGACATTTTAAAAAATTCAACTTCCAAGGTGTTGCAATTTTTGTTTGGGACATCCTTTATTTGTGGTTGAATTCACTTGAAACTTGGTATATATGCTGTTTGATATTATTAATCAAATGAAAAGAGGTTGCAACGTTTCCATGAGGTATATTTTATTTGTACTTGGATTTACTCGAAGGTTGCTCATTGTTGAAATTAAGCAAATACGTGTTTTGGCAATTTTTAAAAAACAACCCTTAAGGATGAAATGTTATTCCTACGTTTGCATTTGAAATTTAAGATGGCGAGATTACATAAAATTAAAACGTTGTAAGGGTGAATCGGGAGTTAAAAGGTTTTATGGAGAAACAATATTAATTTCTGCGAGCGAAGCCGCTGGGAAAAGCTAGTAAACAATAAAAAAACTGCAGCTTATCAATAAGAAAGTATAATATATATTAAATGTCACGATAAAGGTGTTAAATAATGTATGAATTAATCGCTTTTACAATTTGCAATAATATTAGATTAGTAGTAAGCAGATACAGACATTATATAATAATTACAAATTATCAAGACTTACTTGATTCAATATTTTCCATTGTGGGGGCAGAAAGCACTCTATACCAAGAAAGGAAACATTATTTGATTGCCGAGAATAACAGGATTAGGGAACTAACTTAATAAACCAAATGCTGAGCCGCATCGGGCTTCCATAAACCTTTGACTAGGGATCATTAAAGTTAAGCAGATAAAAGTAAAAACTGTTTTTAAAATTTCCAATTTTTACCTAAAAAAACTCCTAAGAAGAAATTTATTTAAATCAATAAGTAGTTTAAATGTATAAAATTTTACGATCACACGACACCAAATTATTTTACCCAACTTTTCATGTTGAATGAGATTTAGATTGCGGATAACACACTTGATGAATACCAATAAGGCTCCCTTTACGTCATAGAACCTTTTAAATTTAATTTTATTTCGACAAGAAGATTTTACTTCACTTTTACTTAAACCTGATTGGCATAATAAAACAACAAAGGAAACGACTAAGAGAAGTAGGTACTACTTTCTTGAAAAATACTGATTTTTTTTGGAATATACACTGGTTATTTGAATGAAAAATATCCGTGAAGATAAATTAAATTATTCGAAATCAATTGAATTAGGCAAGATATCACCAACGGAAGAGACAAAAATGCGTTCCTTCTGGGCTACGTAAAATGGTATACTTAGAGGTATTATTGTCACGGAATACAATGAGTTTTGAAATATGAGATATTGTATACTTATGACTTTATACTTATTATCATTTGTACAGAACTTAAGGTGTCTTGGATTATATATATAGAGATGGGCAAAATGGTTTTTTAAAAGTATTTTTAAATAGAAAATGCAAATACTTGTTTAATTTGTTATTTCAAATGTAAAATACAAAATAGATTTCCCCTTTGTGTTTTAAATTCTAAATACAAAGTACGTATTTTCAAATAGATACTTTGTTGTAGTAGTTATTTAATTTTCTACATTTACTTAAGTATAAAATATTTTTGTAGGCAATTGCTCATTTTTAAGTATAAAATATTTTTGTAGGCAATTGCTCATTTTTAAAATATTGCAGTTTTTCTATCTTTGTGTTATAGTTTCTTCAGTTTAGCAACATATAATTCTTCTATATGCTTCCTTATTTGCCTTTGTCGCCGTTTTAATTGGAAATTAAATTTAATTGGCCGATGCCAAAATAGTTTGCTTAGCGTGAAAGATCAGAGCTAAAATAAAGTTGCAAATGATTTTATTGACGATCATCAATCATTTTATATTCAAAATATTTACAACCCCATTTTATTTCTGATCTTTTACACATTGTAATAAGAGAAAGAAATGGAATCCATAGTTTCTTTAGCTTAGGGTTCATCTAATAAGCGAAGTTTTTCGAATCGTTTTCTAACAATTTTGGATTATATACATTTATTAGCACACTACAATATCGTATAGTATATCAATTCGATATTGTTTTGCAGGCTGTTTTGAATTTCGTAGTTCCTTGCTAAAGGTACAATAAAAGGTGATTTGGCAGGTGCTGACAGCAATTTGAAACTTCAAAATTCCATGCACCATGACATTGAACCCGGAAAACAATATCGATCCAATATTTTAGATTATCCATTTCCAAGGAGTTTAGAATGTTTTGGGTTCTCTTCAGTTAAAGAATTAGAAGGCATTCATGGAATGTCTCTTTGACCCCTCTTTAAGCTTCTAATACATTCAATAGCCAATGTTAGCAACTTTAATTCATAATTTTGTATAATGTTTGATCGGTTATATTAGCAAAACTTTATTGCATTTTACAAGTACAAAATACGTTTGCAATAGTATTTTAGTTAAAATGCAAAATGCTTTTCTCAAAAAAAATATTTAAATGCATGATAAAAATAGGTATTTTTTATTTTGTATTTGCATTTTAATCTACAATGGTGTAACCCACCCTTGGTCCATGGAAAAAGCTCACTACGTTCCTGATTACATGACATTTGACCTAATTGAGGAGTAGATTGAGTTGGGAAACTCAAGTACTCAGATACTAATTATCTCTTTGAATCCTAACTCCCTCTTTTTTTTTCAGTTGACGGACTTGGCGCTCGGATAAACATTATTTTAACGGGCATTTGAACGCTACAACGCGTGGGAAAACACGTTACCGGCCAACATGTTAGTTTTTCTCGAAAATGAAAAACGTAATAATCTCTCAATGAAGAGAGGAAAATCTATACTGTGCCTACGTCAAGCGCCGGCGTATTAACGTCACAAATTTTATTTGATATCAGGCCAAAGAGCTCCGTAGCTCCCAGTAGGCCATGGACGTCGTTACGCTCTTTACCATTTTTACCCTGCTGGTAACCGAATCTTACCAATATCAATACAAACATCACGACAACAATGAACTGGTGCAAATATTGGAATCTGTACACGAACAATGTCCAAATATCACAAGGATACACACTCTGAGTGAGAAATCGGTCCTTGGAGTACCACTCTACGTTATAGAGTTTTCCACGACGCCAGGACACCATGTTACACGTGAGTACCCATTTGAATTTTAAAATTATTTGGACAGAAATAATAAGTGGCGATTTCTTAAGGAAAACGGTTCCAAATATTGCGATTTTTTAAATACTATAATTCGTTGTTTGCATTAACTTGCGACAAAAAGTTTATTTATTGAAAGAAGACCTACTTCTAGACATTAATGTTTGTCTATTTTTATTTGCATTAATATCCTGATTCGCCTACATCAAAAACGTTAATTAAATCTACAGTTATTGATGAAAATTCATCAGAAGTTTTAATAAAACTTCTATTTGCTATTTGTTTAATGTACATAACTTGACATATGTTTTCGAACGCACTGCGTCTTCTTCGGAAGTTTTAGATAAAATTTAATGTTTGTTTTTCGTGGATGTGGAGGAATCTTTCCGAGGAATGTGTCTTTGGGCCTACCGGTATTTTTTAATTTCTAAAATTTCAAGTAATGATAGACAATTTAAAATTACTATTAGTGTTTCAAAGTTGTGATTGTAATTTAATATTACTACTAAAGACTATAATTCGTTGTTTGAATTAATCACAATGAACTTGCGAAAAAAGTTTATTTATTGAAAGAAGACCTACTTCTAGACATTAATGTTTGCCTATTTTTAATTGCATTAATATCCTGCTGCGCCAACATAAAAACGGTAATTATCTACAGTTATTGATCGAAATTCATTAGGAGTTTTAATAAAACATCAATTTGGTATTTGTTTATATAACTTGGCATATGTTTTCGAACGGACTGCGTCTCCTTCGGAAGTTTTAGATAAAACTGTTTTTTTTTTCAAATTTTAAATAATGATAGACAAGTTTCAAAGTTGTGGTTGTGATTTAATAAAACAATGTTTCATTCAATTAAGATGAAATATATAGAGCTTTGTTAGAAATCAAAGTATGTTAATTAAAATTGTTTACATATGGTATATTGTAGAGAAGCTAATAAGTTAAGACAAATATTTGAACATTTTCGAGTAAGTGTTTCGCATACACAACATAAACTGCTTAACAAGTGCTATTTTATTTCTTTTTAATTTTTTAAGAAAAGCTGTTAAGCATTTCCTTTAATTCGTTTTACTAAACAAACTTTCCCGCAACCTTCTTTTACATGGAACAAATTCAAAAAGTTTTAATGTAAAGAAATAATTACGATTTACTTTGAATATTGAACTGCAGTAAAAAACTAAAAATTATATACTAGATGAATGTATTTTTATTTTTTTTTTCTAAATAGGGCTTGTACAGCAGAAAGCCAACACTTAAAGATTGGTACATGATGGAATTTAGTTTTAAAAATTTTTATTCGTCAAAAAATTTTATTTTATTTACAAATATAAGTATATATGTACATACGGTCATACTTACTGTTTTAAATTTAATCTATCAAATGTTGACAATAACATTTGAGTTTATAATTATTGCAGTGACAACTTCAACATAGTGAGCATTATAGGTAATGTTTGTAAATATGTAAATTTCTTCTCTCGTGCAAATTTTATTATTATTACTGGTATTATTTTATTATCTTCCTAGGAAGTAGTTGGTTTACGTATCAAAAACAATGTACAGAATGGTTGCTATTTATAGGTCATTAAAAACGAACAGTTTTTATGGACCCAAAATAATAAAACGAAAGAAAATTTTTTTTTACTATGTAAGCTTCGTAATTCGTAACATTTTCTACCTACCTTTCTATCTGTAAAAACATTAAACGCGTAACATAATTGCTTTTGGACACGGCCGTATCTCAATATAAAGAGTAAAACTCCCACCTTAGACCATAATGTATTTTGGAGCTGTTCTGATGGCAAAAAAATTATTTTGGAATTAATTAGTAAGTCTTTTGGAAACAGTCATTAAATATGAAACAACCTTAAACAGAAGATATAGAAGAGTGATACTTAGCTTGTATAAAGAGCAACAGGCAGTTATAGAGCTGGGGTTGCAACGTAGAGAAGTAAATATTAGGAAGGGAGTCAGACAGGGATGCACATTGTCCCCGCTACTTTTTAATCTCTATATAGAAAACGCGATCAAATTCATTAAAGGCAGTACGGCTGTAGGGATAGATATAAAGGGGTGAAAGATTAGTATGCTTAGATTTGCAGATGATATAGGCATATTAGCTTTAGCAAGGAGGAGTTAGAGATAGCTTTAAATAAAAGGGAATAAAAAGTAGGGAAAGAACAAATATAAAGATAGGAGACGAAAAATTAGAAGAAGTGACTGATTTTAGACACCTAGGAAGTCAGATAAGTCAGGACGGAAGGAGTAGTAGGGATATAAAGCAGAGGATAGCACAGGGTCGAGTTGCCTTCAATAAAAAGAAATCACTTCTATGCTCGCGAACGATTAATTTAGAAATTCGAAAAAGATTGTTAAAGGTGTATGTTTGAAGTGCGGCGCTGTAAGGGTGCGAAACTTGGACAGTAGGCGCTGCGGAAAGAAATGTGGTGTTACAGACGAATGATGAGGATACCGTGGATAGAGAAGGTTAGAAATGAAGAGATATTAGAAAGAATAGGAGAAGAGAGGGCTCTGTGGAATTCAATAAAAGAAATATAGGCGAGATGGGTTGGTGGGACACTTTCTCAGGCATTAAGGTCTAGTCAGAGACGTATTAAAGGCAGAAACACAGAAATACATATACAGTCTTAGGACTGAAGACCTTGATGAACCTTAAATGATTAAACCGTTTTAATAAGCAAATTGAGCAACTCAAATTGGCATTTGAATAAGCTTTAATTTGATATCAAACACACAAAAAATTTTCCACTCTCTTTTCATCCCTTACTGTCATCTGCTTTCAATTTTTGCCTTATTTTTTGTAGTTACGTTCAATTTTGACTCATTATGCCAAATAACAAATCATATCTGGGGTAAACCGAAGCGGCAGCATAATTGTGACCCATTTTACCATTTTGATACATTGAACATAACGATCATTAAGATCTTTTTACGCATTAAAAATACAAAACATGTTGACCCACACGTGTAATAAAGTGCCAGTAAAACATCTGGCGAGTAATTTGTGTTGACCCCAAAATTGCCAGTAGACCATTTTGATGTCACCTAATTGAATGTGGGTAAATATTCAGGTTGCAAAAAAAAAGTAAACAATAACTTACCTCACCGTGTTTATTCTTGAACTTGAATAACATAACGTGTCAAAAAAGTTTTTGAGGATGACGTTATGCAAGATAATATTACATAAATACTTGGCATGCCTTTATTATAATAATACCAACGAATTGATCTACCTTTCTGAATGCGTAAAATCGTACGTCACTGTTCACAGACAAAATGAAAAATGAAAATTTACCTAAGCGATATTTACAATCTATCCTATCATACTAGCCCATTGCTTAGTAAGCGAAAATAATAAAAATTACAATTTGGAGTCGAATTTGTAAAAATAAAGTCCCAGCCGAAATAAATTTACTAGCTAGTTTAGTTGATATTACAAATTTAATTGTAATAATTAAGAAACTTGAAACAATTTTTAAAGAAACATGTCAAAATTGAGATTATTACTAGCTATCTAATAAATTCTACTTTTTCTATGGCATATTCAGTCGGTTTACGATCAATTACAATCGGAATTTGTAATTTTTGCGTTGTCATAAAAATTTAGTTTTAGTTTCTGTGTTATTGTGAAAGAGTAAATATGTATTTTTTAAAATATTTATGTTTTTCTTATTCTGATTATTCCGCGATATGATGTATTTCTTCCAGCTTTAGAAGTTAGTTCCCTTTTTTAAAAATTGTAGATTTTGCGACACCATGTTTTTTTTCTTAAATACCTGCGTGACACTGCCCATCATTTAATCCTTAAACCACAAGTGATCTCTCATAAACAATAGGACACTTAGGTTTTTTAACAATAAGGTAGATTTATAAAGTAAATGCAGAAATAAAAAACATCTCTTCAACTAATACGATCTAGGGAAAATACCCAATATAACGGGGATTTACAGCAATGACGAAACGGCAAAGACGAATAATCGATTTTTAAGACCAATGATCATTTGTTTCTATAAGCCAATGTATAGCTAATATTTTAATTGGTCGAACAACTGGTTGTTGTATTGTTTGCGCGAAAGTTCTGTACTATTTTTTTATTATTTGAATTTCGGTTATATTTATATTTCATTTACGCTTATACTACCCAGATTTTCATTTATGCATTTTCTGAAAAACATAAACAAGTATCTACAAGCCTAAACTTAAGAACTTTTTAATGAGATTATAACCTTGTTGCATCATTAGCACTTTTATTGGATAACTTTGAAATTGTTAGATGAAAAAGAAATTTAAAGTGAAAATTTTGTTACAACTTAAATTATAAGGTTGTTCGGAAAGTCATTTCGTTTTTTTTTTGTGGAAATGAAAGACAGTTTTCGTACAATAAACAAATACTTTATTAAATTATATATTGACCGTTCTGGTCCAATACCTTTTGCCATCTTTCTTGTAGTAGCATAATTCCACGCTCATAAAATTTTTGGTCTTTGCTGGCAAAAAACTGATCGAGGAGGTTTTTTACCTCCTCATTTGAGGTGAAGGTTTTACCGTCTAAAAAATTTTGGAGTGACCGGAACAAATAATAATCCGATGGTGCCAGGTCTGGAGAATATGGTGGGTGTAGCATTGTATCCCATTTAAGCTGTAAAAGCTTTTGGCGAGTGATCAAACTTGTGTGAGGTCTCGCGTTGTCTTGGTGAAACACTACACCTTTCCTGTTGATTAGTTCTGACCTTTTCTGTTGAAGTGCATCATTCAGTTTGTCCAGGTGATGACAGTAGACTTCCGAATTAATCGTTGTGTTATCCGGTAAAAGCTCAAAAAGAAACGATTCCTTTAAAATCCCACCAAACAGACAGCATCACCTCTTTTTTGGTGAATATCGGCTTTGGAAATGGTTTGAGCCGGTTCATCTTTTTTGCTCCATGACCTCTTGCGTCTGACGTTGTTGTATACAACCCATTTTTCGTCCCCAGTGATGATGCGCTTCAAAAACGGATCATTTTCGTGACGTTTGAGAAGCGAATCGCAGACGTCAATGCGGCGACACAGATTTCTCTCTGTGAGAACATGGGGAACCCATACATCGAGCTTTGAGGATAATCCCAGGCCTTTCATGTGGTCATAAACTGTTGAATTTGATAAATGTAACCTCAATCCGATCTCACGTGTTGTTATTCGCCGGTTCATATCAACTAATGCCTTTATCGCGTCTTTATCAGCTTCAACCGGCCTTCCCAAACGTGGTGCATCGTCGACATCAAAATTGCCGGATCGAAATTTAGCGAACCAGTTCTGGCACTGGCGTACTTTCAACACACCTTCTCCATACACATCAGTCAATTTCTTTCTGGCTTGAACAGCATTTTTACCCTTTCTGTAGTAAAACAGTAAGATATGTCGAAAATGCTGCTTATCGCTCTCCATGTTTAAAAGGGCACCAACCAAAAACTACTGCGTAGAATTAATTGGAATTTTTCACACACAAGCCTTGCTATATGAGCTCTCAAAGCATATAAAAATTATACGGCTTAAATGTGAAGTTGGGTGCAAAAGAATATAATTAAATCCTCTGTCGGGAAAAAACGAAATGACTTTCCGAACAACCCGATAAAATATACGTTTCCTCTATCAAGAATACTGAAAGAATGTTTCTTTAATTTTAGTGAAACCTGAGTTTAAATACATAGCAAATATGCACGGTAATGAAGTACTAGGTAGAGAGCTTTTGTTAAGATTGGCTGTATACCTTTGCGAAGAATATAATGCTAAAGATCCCATAATAACTGCCCTGATTCAAAAAACTAGGATCCATTTAATGCCTTCAATGAATCCGGATGGATGGCAACTTGCAACAGACACAGTACGTAACATTTATCGTTAATACTGTAAATTTATATGTTATTTTTTACTAAATAATTTCTTAACAGGGAGGTTTGGACTACATAATTGGCAGAAATAATAATAATTCTATAGACTTGAACAGGAACTTCCCAGATTTGGATAGAATCGCATTTTCAAATGAAATCGAAAACAACAATCATCTCCTAGATCAAATAGTTCGCCTTAACGATCCTGTAAGTGATCAGATTTAATTTAGTAGCAGTTCTAAAAATAAATCTCTTGCTCTACATAAGGAAGTTAATTCTAATTCATTTTGTTTGATCGATAGCTTAAATTGGAAACGATTTTAATTATCTAGTTTCGCCGTTTGAACAGCATCAATTTTCTGTTGCAGCTGCAACCGGAAACGAAAGCTGTTATCCGGTGGATAATGTCTGTTCCTTTTGTATTATCAGCTAACCTACATGGAGGTGATTTGGTAGCAAATTATCCCTACGATCAGAGTCGTTCGGGTAATCCAAAAGAATATTCAAGAACTCCCGATGATGACACATTTAGGTACCTAACTACTTGCCTCGAAAGTAAAAAAATGTTATCAAAATTAATTTTTGTTCAATAAATTAGATAAAAATTAATTTAATTGCATTAATTGGCAACATATTATGAAGAAATGCCTTTAGAACAATTCAAAAAAAGATGCCATTTTTAGGTACCTGGCCTTGGGTTATTCTTTATACCATGCCGATATGGCGAATCCCGCAAGAAGGGGATGTGGGGATAGGGAGAGTAGTAAATTTGGAAGGCAGGGGGGTATTACGAACGGAGCCCAATGGTACAGTCTTCAAGGAGGTTTGTATCTGACATATTTATGATCAGAGGTCGCGTACACTTGACACTTGACTCATGGAGCCCCACATGTAGCCGCGCTTCCTAATTATGCATTTTTTGTAAAAATTGTAAAATTACGGGTCATTTAAGAAATTTATAGTTTTTATTTTTTAATCACACCCACAAGAAAAAATTATGCAGGGGGCTACAAATTCGCTACTGTTAACGATTATGCCCGAAGATAATTAACCTAAAATTTCTAGGGATGCAAGATTTTAATTACCTTTCAAGTAACGATTTTGAAATTACCTTGGAACTTGGCTGTGAAAAATATCCAGTAGCTGATGTACTGGAATTGGAATGGGAAAGAAATAAAAATGCCTTAATCAATTATATGTGGCAGGTAAGAACAATATAAATGTAATCATATTATGTGTACATCACTGCCTACACGTATTTTTTTAAATTATAAAATCATTTCAAGAACATTTTGCTTAACACGTAGAAGATTGATGTACAATTACAATATTGTGCAGTTTTCTGAATTATTTATTACTTTAAAAGAAGTAGATTATTTGACCTTTTACACGAAGAATTTTAAAACTTTTTTTGAATTTAAAAATATTATTACCAAAATAAATGTAATTAATAAATACAGATACATAGTTATTGATCAGTTTTGGTAACATATTTCGAAGTTTATAACTTCAGGTGTTTCAGATATATAAAGCTAAAGTTATAATTTTTATCAAAAGTCGTAACTGTACGCAAATAATACAATTTTATTCATTATTTCATTGGTTTTATTGTTCTTATTATTAATACATGTTTCCAAAAAACAGTAAATAGGCCGTTCAACTATTACGTAAGCAGACATTTTGCAATTATTAACCCCCCCTCCTTCCCCTGTGACAGCAAAAGTAAGTGAAGCTCTTACCCCCCCTTCCATGCTTATGTAAACATTGGTGCATGCATTTTTTAATGTGTTCTGGTTTCTTTATTGATTCATGAGCATCCTCCATGTCATCAAAAATAAGCAAAGCAAAGGCCCCCCGCCCTCCTGTAGTGCTTACGTAAAACTTGAATGGCCCCAAGACGTATTTTTTAATTCGCCCTTTTTGATAACGAATTCTAATAAAACTTATTTCCATTTCTAAAACTACGAAAATATCAAAAAAATAATTGATAAAACAACACCAAAAATTTTTTCTAGACCCATACAGGCATAAAAGGAATTGTATATAACAGTATTACTCACGAAGGAATTCCAAACGCCGTAATTCACGTAAAGAACATAACATCAGGTATATCAAGGGACATTCAGCATGACATAACATCAGGTATGTCTTTATTTAATAATTTTAAAAGTTGGGTACCTTTTGATTGTTCTTGTTATTGGCTTATAACATACTATGTAATTTTTTTTATGCAGTTTACGATGGTGACTATTACCGATTGTTAACTCCGGGTCAATATAAGGTAACTGCATTTAAAGAAGGGTATTTACCCCATACAAGATTAGTAACTGTAATAAACATTCCCTTCACATCCGCACAGAGGGTAGATTTTGCCCTCAATCCGATATCGGTAAGACGTGTAACTTTCTTTTTTATGAAATTTTATTTCAATTTTTCTCATGATAACGAATTTTTATAGGCGACCCCTTATTACATCCCCCGTGAAAATAGTTTAGATGAGAACAGTAATAATGAGCAACAAGATTGGGTAAATTGGGAACAGGACGATGGAGATCAAGTAGCATTTGATTAAAGACAAAGAAAGCAAAGCACTTAATGTTAATTAAATTCCAAATAATAAAAGACTTACAAACTTTTTCCATGTAGAGTAGTACATATAAATGTAATATATTTTCATCTAGCTCAAGTTTTTCGCAATTTAAATCTTTACTGTATAATAAACAGAATAGAATACGTATATACATGTGTTGTCTAAATCACAATAAACATTTATTAAAATTAAATAGCATTTCCTTCGACATTACATGTATTATTATTTATGAAGGTAATTAACTTATGTTATTGTGCTTTCAGGTATTTCTTTTACATGAGAATCCCTCACGCAGTTAAAACTTATTAATGCTTAAATTCATTTATCTGAAGTAAAATGTGGAACAATTTTTTTAATCAGTTAAATAAAGATTACTTATTTTTTATATGGATTATAAGCAGCGTTAAATGTTTCAAATCTAAATCGGCTAACTGTAATAAGATACAAGTGATGTTGCTCATTTTAAAGTTTTACTTCTAAATCTTATATAAATTGCACTTATCATTGTTTATTTCCGCATTCCGTTAAGTGCAAATGTACTGAACTTGACCTAGTTATTAAATTAAAAACAGAATGGCCGCCGACGTAATAGCCAATCAGATGCATCGAAATACATTATAACAATTAAACGTCCATACTTAAGTTAGTCACCCGCGGTGCTGTTGATGGGTGTACTTCGGTGCATCAAAATTCACACCAAAAATACGCAATTTTGTTTTATTTATCGCAGACATGAAAGAAACATTTATTTTAGGATTGAATACTAAACTTTGTTAATGTTTTATTTATAACACGTTGAAAAATTGTTAGTGTTTTGATGAACATATGCTTCTATTCTATTCTACTTAAGTGCTTTAGTGCCTAAGTAAGTGACAAGTACAATGAAACACCTTATATATCAAACCCTTAGTGCGTGTTAAATGTAAGTAACATTAATTTTCACTTTCCAGTGCATTATTCATTAGAAAATACAAAAACGTGATTGAAAACTATTTATTTTAAAAATTGACTCACAGTTACGTTACAAAAAGGAGAAGACAATTGAAATTGAAAATAACGAGCATTTTTCAAAATATGTGGGGTTTGTTTGTATTTGTTTTTAGTAACATGGAAACCAAAAATTATATTTTTCCGCTTTGACTTTTATTTGTGTTGCCAATTATGACTTTTGTCAATGGTTATGGTATATAGTATTATTTATGCTGTCAAGGTTAATGCACCCTAACCTAGAAAAAAGTGATAAACTAGTGGATACAAAAAAGAAGAAAATAAATAAAATGATTGATAAAAAGGCCTCTGTGAAAGATTTAAAACAAAGTGAAGACAATAACATGGCTACTAAAAATAGGGCAGACGATATTTTGGATCTAATTAACGACTTTCGACATAAGTAAGTTTTGTTGTATAACGTTGGTTATGTTTTACCTTATTTTTTTGTCTTTTTCAGTAAATTTAAAAGTTCTCACGAGGTAGCTATTAAAACAGAAATATTAATGGAAAAATTAATATCACAGGGACAGTGGACTACTGCTCAGTAAGTTACTTCCATCATTTTTGTTTACAAATCATAAAAATGTTATCCTTATAGAGAGTTAATGGACCTTATTAGAAATCGAATTCGGATATTTTCAAATGCTCTACCAGAAGAAACAACTCCTGTCAATATTATGAGACATATTTTAAAGGTTATTCGAGAAGAATATTTAGATTTTAAGGTAGGATTCTAATGCAAAACATGTTTCTTTTTTGTAGGCAATTCTTATGAATTTTAGAGTAAAGTTGAGGAGCAACAGTCCCTGCAATATTTAGTAATGGCAAATCCTGAAGATCATGCAGGAGATTATACAAAACCACAGGAGAGATTGAGATCTGCTCTATTAAATAATTTGACGGAATATAAAACTGAACTTGAAACAAGGTAAGTACAAGTGATTTTATCAGTTTTTTTATTAATGATAGTAGTAAGTGTATTAATTATTTTAGTGTAGATAATATAGCATCACAAGCTTTAGAACATATCCACTCAAACGAAATCATTTTAACATTTGGAAAATCAAACACTGTAGAACAGTTTTTGAAGTCAGCTGCCAAAGATCGACAATTTCAAGTTATTGTTGTAGAAGCAGCGCCTAATTATAAAGTAAGTATAAAGAAATAATCCGTTTTGATTAAGTACTAATTTTCTATTGACATCTAAGGGGCATCTTATGGCATCAAATTTAGCAAAATGTAACATACAAACGACAATTATTCCTGACTCTGCCGTTTTTGCAATGATGTCTCGTGTAAATAAAGTGATAATTGGAACACATGCTGTGATGGCAAATGGTGGATTACAAGCTGCCTGTGGAGCTCATACAATAGCATTAGCTGCAAAACATTACTCAGTCCCTGTGAGTTTGTGTGTCTTTTTTTAACTGAATTAATGATATATTCATTATGTTCCAATCAATACTTAATCTTTGATATAAATTTATGTATTTAACTTCACTTGAACGTTTATACATTCTAAACTTCAACGAAGTGCCTGTAGCATTTATACACAGAAGTGAATGTTTAAATATAAAGGTAGTTACTTTACTAACTTAAATATTAAAGCTACAAATCTCAACTCAAAGTAAAATATGGTTTATTAGTAAATAAAGACTCTTATTTTTATGATTATTGTATGGTTAAGATATTTTGAAAGTGCCTGCAAAATCACAATTTTATTATTTTTGCATTGTAAATAAAAGGATTAGATCGAACAGTATGAACACTAAAAACGAATACTAATATTGATAATAAATAGAGTATTGTTTGTTTCAGGTAATGGTTCTTGTACACTTGTACAAACTGAGTCCTCTTTATTTGTGCTCCTACGAACAAAATGCTTTTAGTGTATGCCAATCTCCTGCTAGTGTTCTTCCTCAACGCAATGGTCCAATAGTTAGTCAAGTGCACGTTTACAACCCTGTTTTCGATTACGTTCCACCAGAATTAGTCACAATATTTGTTACACATCAGTAAGTATTTTATTTCCAAAAATTTAGTACAGTAATAATTATTTATATTTTTGGACAGGGTGTTTTTAAATTTTAAAATTACTGTAAAATTATGATTTTGTTTTATTAGATAATGTGTATCAAAATCTGTTTACATTCTTAAGAAATTACTTCATTTTGTTTTATTTTATTGTGTTCAAGTGTGTATATTTTTAACAAATTTGATTATGTTGCAGGGGTGGAAACGCATCTTCGTATATATATCGGCTTCTATCAGAACTGTACCATCCTGATGACCAAGATCTGTAGCAAATAATGAGCATTTTCTATTTTCAAAAGGTAATTATTAATTTATTTGTTTAGTACTAAGTGCCTATGTATCGTTGCAAAATGCCTAAAAGTTAGTAAACCCGTAAGGTAAGACCTAATTAAAGTTTTCTACACCAAATTTTTAATCATTTGAGGACGCAGTTAAAGCTGTCTGATTTTCTAACAAGAGAATTATAGACAAAAAATTAAATTGAATAGTCAGACAAATATAAGAAAAATAATTTACCAAAATATCTTAAACAATTAATTGATTAAAATTATAAATTTATAATTCAATATCTATATCAAGTCTTTTTCAACTTTAGAGAGAGTACTTAGGGTTGCCTATCTTGACATTCAGATTCGAGAATAAATTTAATATTCATCCATTGTCAGAGGTGACCTTTCTTTCGTTCGACAGGTCCGTATTAAAAACTTTTGTGATACTGACAATAAATATTAATGTATAAGTATGTATGCTTTTATGATGTATAGGTGAATATTTTGAATGAATTTCACAATGTGTTTAATGTCTGCACATGTCTGTTTTAACTTAATACCAAACATAAACAATAACATTACCCCAAAAAGCAGCTGATTCCGACCTACTGAAGGTGAATTTTTCTACGATATATCGTAATTAATTTTATAATTTTTTATTTTGTTTCAAAAGTCAAAAATGTTATAACATTTTATGCTCCAAATGTCCGTAGGAATCTGTGGTATAAATATGAATTATTATAACTGGGACACCCTATATATTCTATCTAATTTGCCTAGTTTTCACATTTTCCAGAATTACATTTTGGTGTATTTATTGCGTAGGTCTGAGACAAATAGCTTAATGGCAGGTTTATTGTAAAGGTTCTGTTTGAACCTACAACTGTTGTTTTTATAGTAAAAATTACAGGTGTTATAACTTTGCGTTTTCAAAATTAATTTAGGAGATTTTGATAATTTTGTTTGGAGAGGACGGAGACAAAATGTCAGAATTTTTGTAAGGGTGCTCTATACCCTTCTGAAACCAAAACTATGTAATCTCTGACAATAAAAGTTACACGTGTTATAACTTACGTAATGAACGGTAAACGTTGCAGTTTTTGATTATAAAAATTGCAGGAGTAGTAACTTACGTACTTTTCAAAGTTCGGTTGTAGGAAATTAATCATTTAATTGAACTATAAACACGTATGCATAATTTTGAATTTAATGATTTCTTTGCGTCTTAAAATATTTTGGACAATATAGTTAAATAAAGTTTGGCTGATGATGAGTGGGCTAATGAAATTCCATAAAATAATATATTTGTAATTTCAGCAAATGTAGATAGAATGTAAATATACCAAAAAGATTTTTAAAGGTAAACGATACGAAACTTGATTGATATATATATTTTAAAATATACAATCTGTTGACTGGGTTTTAACGTTGTAGTTTTTTTTTAGTTTACGTTAATAAATCTACATTTATTTTTACATAAATATACAATAAAATTAAAGTGCAATTTTTGCGTTATATTTTCCAATCATTTCGGAAAAGTAAAAATGAATGCAATAATGTTGGTTCTGTTTGAATAAAATGGTCAACATACTTTTATGAATTCGTGTCTGCTGTGAGGATTGTTTGTCGTTTGTTCTGTTTGAGGAAGCGGGGTAAGGGGACAGTTATGATACGATGTGGTGTATATTTACTTCTTTACGTCGTATACTCGTATGAATGTGCTCGTGTTGTTATCTCGTAGGATTTTTTGCTTGGCTTGTTGACTTTATCGTTTCAAGGATTCTCTATGAAAATGATATTGCAAATGCCAAACAAATATTAATTGTACTTAAAAATAATAAAACGAAAATATAGGGATAGGTATTTGGCCATTGAATATTTTCATTTAAAAATTAAAGTACAATTAATAAATTGATTACTTATTATTTATTTAATCTATATATAGAAGACGCGATCAACATCATTAAAAACAATACAACTGTAGCGATAGATGTGCAAGAGCAAAAGATTAGTATGCTTAGATTTGCAGATGATATAGCAGTATTAGCATCTAGCAAGGAGGACCTAGAGATAGCTTTAAATAAAATGGAAGCGGTACTGACAGATCAG